AAAAAAAAAAAATGTGATGTGGAGACTTGGTGGAGAACAGGTAGAACCAGGCAGCTTCACACTCCATGGGGATAAGCAAGGGGGCCAGGAGGGCATGGGAGGGCAATGAGCACTAGAGAGAGCAGTGGGGGAGTCAGACTTCCTTTAAGACACCCTGTCCCCTGACATACCATCGATTGTGTTCTGCAAGGTGAGGCAATCAAGCCCCTTTGCCCTTCTTCTCCTGACAGTATATGCATCTGGGCAGGACAGACTGGCCACCCTGGCAGGGCCGCAAGGAGCTGGGAGGACCGATCAGCCCCCTGGAATCCAGATCGTAGGGCTCCTCATCTCCTCCACTGCCAACACCCCATACCCTCCCCTCTCCCAGTCATGGCCTGGCCTCCTCGGTCTCCCAGGCTCTGCCTCAGCCCTTTCAGTCTATTCTCCACACAGGAGCCACAGGGATGCTGTGAGGATATAAAACACATCATGGTCCTTCCTACTTCAAACCCCCCAAAGTGTTCTCTGCACTTGAATAAAGTCCCGACTTTTCACCCTACCTAGCACACGAGGCTCTGCATGTAATCCATCCACCCTTCCACACTCACATGGGGAGGCTCCCCACTTGGACCAGGTGCTCTCTACCTGTCTTTTCTCTTTTGGTGGCTGACCAGTCTCCACATGTCTTTACGCACTGACTTCCCTCTTCCTGAGAACCTCCTTCAGGACTCTGATCCAAAGTCAACTAAAATAGACACCCTCAGGCTGGCCCGTGGCTCACTTGGGAGTGTGGTACTGATAATACCAAGGAACCAGTTCGGGTCCCTATATAGGGATGGCTGATTAGCTCACTTGGAGAGCGTGGTGCTGACAACACCAAGTCAGCAGTTAAGATCCCCTTACCAGTCATCTTTAAAAAAAAAACAAACAAAAAAAAACAAGACACCTCTCCTCCCCAGCCTCTACCCTGTATTTCTTAGCAGTCACCACCCAAAATGACTTCTCCTTTTTGTTTTTTGTCTATCTCCCTCTACAAGTACAGGCGAAGTGTGATGTGTTCTGTTCACTGCTATGGCCCCAGGGCCTAGAATAGCTCTGGCACATAGTAGGTGATCAGTAAGTTTCTGCTGAATGAACACAGTAACAACTTTGGCCCAGTGAAAATAGGACTGTGAAGAGAAACTGAACCTAAGGTGCAACAGTGGGGATTCAGCCAGGGGTGAGGGAAGATGGGTCTTGAGTCCAGGCGTGCAGGAGGGGACGTGCTCCTGCCCCTTCCTACCCCCCCACCCCTCCCTCACTGGGCCAAACCCAGGCTTTGGCAGGTGCAGTGCCAGCCAGTGAAGGAGAGCTTAGGTTCCAGAGCTTGAAGAAGACAAACAAAGCACATGGCTCCAGCACTAAGTCAAGTTCTTTACTTCCCAGAAGTGATGGCTAAGGGGGGGACGGGGAAGGTGGGGGACGAGAAGGAGACAGAAAGAGCCAGAGAGAGCAAGGAGATGGGAAGAGAGGGGACAGTAAACCATTGTGTTCTATTAAGTCTCGTGAGGCAAGTGCTCAAGGTAAAAAAGAGTCCTGGAGAATCGCTGGCGGCTGCGGGAAGCATCTCGGTTTCCTTCTGTTATAAGTCCTCCGGAGGGAGGCTGCCACCGCTGCCGCCGCCGCTACATTAAATAGTTATGTACATCGCAGAGAGTCCCAGGCTGTGGGCAGGCGGGGGAGGGGGTCATTTCACCAGGGGACGAGTTTTATCATCATCGCCACACTGGTGAGCTTTGTACTTTTTCACTTCTGCCATGTACTTGGCCCATGCATCACCTTTACTTGTTAATACCTGTGGGGGGTGGAGAGGGGAAGGGGTTGGGAGGGAGATGCCAGGGAGGCCAGGAACCCAGGTCAGGACTGTCCTGAGACAGCTGACCCAACCCTGCTGTCACCCTGAAGGCCCCGGGTTTGAGGTAAAGATGTCCAGAGTCAAGTTATTTGGGGACCTTATTGAAAGCCCCTCCTACCCCACCCACACACCCATCCAAGGCCCTGGTGCTGGACAGGGAGGGAGAGGGCTCCACCGCTGGCATGGAGGCTGGGAGGGAAGGGCACTTGGGCAGCCCCACACCCGGCCTGCTCACCTCATCCTCCGTCTTCTGCTTCTTGGCTACTATTCCCGTCTTGAGGGCTAGTTTGTTCCCGCCTCTGCGTTTGCCCACCTGGGTGAAGGGACAGAAGACTGCAACGGTTACAGGAGCCGGGCCCGCCCTTGGCGGCGCTGAGGCCCACTACACCTTCCTAGCCCGGCCCGGTGGCCCGTCCCGACGCCGCGCCCAGCTCCGCCAGCCGGCCAACCTGCGCAGCAATCAGAGAGGAGCACACGCGACTCAGCGCTGGCCCTGGGCCCGCAATGCCCAGGCAGTCCTGGGCCCTGGGCTGCCCTCCCAGGGAGCGAGAAGAGTGCCCACTTTGGTGGGGGCCGGCTCTGTCCTCACTCTCTATGCTGAGGCCTCACCCTCCCCTAGTAGGGACCACATAGGTGTCAACAGCTCCCTCTATTGAGCACTTACTGTATGCCAAGCCCTGTGCCAGAGTGCTGTGGATGTATCATCTCCTTTCACTTTCACAGTTACCCTAGGATGAAGGTTATAACCCTCCCCATTTTATAGATGAGGAAACAGTCTTTGAGAAGAAGAGGTCACGGTGACAACAAACAATGGAGCTAGATCCGGGGTCACATGGTTCTAAGTCACTGGGCAGCACCCTTAGCCATCAAGCAACACTGTTTCCCTGTGCCTAACCCAGCCTCTTTGGAGGGGCGACTGCAATGGCTCCTTAATGAAAAAATGAAAAGGACGGTGACAACTACTGCTACTCCCATTTATGAAGGAAGGGATCCTCAACCACCACTCTCAGTTGTCACACCAACCTGGCTCCTGATGCTTTCCCCTTCCTCAAACAGAAGTCTTACTCTGGACTTTCATCCTGGAATCCCATCTTCTCTCACTGACTGAGGGCTTCCTGTCCCCCACTGCAAAAGACTTCACAGACATCATCCCACCTCCACCCCTCAACGAGGCATTAAGTGACCTGTGCTTCTGGGACTATTCTCACACCCATTTTTAATAGATGAAGAAACTATGGCTTGGAGAAGTTAATCACATGCCCAAAATCACACAGCTGGATCCTGGACTTAACCCCCAGTCCTTTATTCTCAAGTCAACACTTCTTCCACCACACCACAGGAATTTGATCGCAACACCAGAGACAAAGCAAGCTCAGAGCCGACAACCAATATACGTCCCATTTATTTAGCCCAGAGTTTCTCAGTCTGGCACTAATGACATTTTGAGCTGGATCATTCTTTGTTGGGGGAGAAGGGGTACCTGTCCTGTGCTTTGTAGGATGTTTAGCAGCATCCCTGGCCTCTACCCACAGACGTCACTAGCAATCCCTCCCTCAGTTCAGACAAAGAAAAATGTCTCCAAACTCTGCCAAATGTGGTGGTGGGGGGAATCGTCCCCAATTGAGAACCACTGGTTTAGTCCTTCCTATAAGACAGGCCCTGTGCTAGTCACTTTTCCAGGATCACCTCACAGAATCCTCATATCACAAGATGTCATGATATCCATTTCTGCAACTAGGGAAAATGACCGTAGGCCAACCCAGAGACTCCAGAAAAGCAGCGATCTTGTCTGCTATGTTCACCACTGCATACCCAGCACCTAGCACAATGCCCAGCACAAGGTAAGGTGCTCAATACCTGGTCACTGGTCCAATGGAGATTCAGGGAGGTCAAGCAATTTTCCTAAAGTCACACAGTAAGCGGTCTGGGTCTAATGCACACAGCTCAGATTAAATTTGCTCCCCTTCCCCACAATACAGGGTGGTCCCAAGTACTCAAAGGCCAAGTACCACTCAAACAGGAAAACTGGGATCCAGGTTTCCCCATCCCCGGAGCGCTGCTTCCAATGCAATTCCTCGGCTCCCGGTTCCCGCGGGCAGGGTCCGGGGGTCCTCACCTCCGCCCCCAGACCCCTATCGTCGGGAATCCAGGTTCCACATCCTTAGCGGGAGACCCGGACGTCCCCCTCATCGGGGAGAACAGTGGACCTGGATCCCAATCCCCCTTCTCCGACCCCGATTCCCCCAGCCAAGGCAGGCCCTGGCGCCCGCCCCCACCCCCGCGGCTCCTTACGAAGCTGAGTGTGGGGCCTGGGCCGCCCTTCCTCTTCGGATCCCCAGGGCCCGCGGCGGCGGCCGG